CAGGCGCAGAATGTATTCCAGGGCCATAGTATTGAGAGTCTCACCAGATTTCATCTGACTAGTAATTCTGGTTATTATTGAGTTTTGGGATTTTGTTCCACATTTTCCCTCCCACTCTATCCAGGATCTCCAGATTTGATCCTTTCCTGAGTGGCTGGCATTGGTAGCCGGGCACCATCTAGTTCTTCTGGTCTCAAGGGGCATCGTGTCCTAGGGCTGATTGCTTCTAAATGCCCTTGTTTTTTGCATTCTTCTTCACTTCCAATGCTAGGAGACCATTAGCTGCATCTTAGATGGCTGCTTGAAAGCTTTTAAGACCCCAGTCACTACTTACCAATGTAGAATGTGGAGCAACACTTTTATGTATTTTGTTGTGCCACTTGAGTCTGATGTCCCCCAGTACTATTAGCATCCGGATGTTTTAACTACTATGCATGCCAGCAGAGCTCCTTTGTAGAGGGTAGAGAGAAGCAAATTTAATGTTTAAGCTTATTTTAGGCAAATTGAAGTGTTTGATTGATAGAATCTTGAGGTTCATCCTAGAAGTTCAACAAGTTAAGAAGGTATACTAGTTACAGACCCCACAATCAACTGGTGCTATTTTATCAGGTGATAATGATTCCATAATTCTACAAAATAGTTATCTACCTTCACTAAACACTTCTAACAACCTACCTTGACAATGAATTCCTGGAAAGTCAAAGTCGAAAACTGATGCTTGTGATTGTTTTTCTTCATTAACATATGTGATAAGGCTTGCTCTCAGCAGCATACAAAATTATATGACCTCAACCCGTAGTAAGAAATACATTTCACATCACAACTCAGAATGTCCTTATATTTATACAAGACTAACATTTAAAATTTGCAGAATAATACTTAGCATTATAATATATATATGATACTAATTTTTAAAATTCTATCCTGTTATATTTTGTTAAAGAAAAAAGCTGGTAATAATCCACTGAGATGATCATGATACTCCACTGGGTCCAATCTGCAGTTTGAAAATTTTTGCTCTTCTAGAACATTAGTTCAGAAATTAAACAAAATTGTAGCACTTCTGACCAACAGGTATTTGGTGGTACAGCTTCCCAGAAATCAGATGAGGACACTATGTCCCATGGACCCTTGCTCACAGCATAAAAGCAAAAGCACATCAGGCCTCAGTTGGAAGCCACTTGAATCAGCAGATGTGCCTCAGATTGGCCCTTCAAAACATTAATCAAACTGGCAATAAAAAAAATGAAAGTCTCCACCCCTTCTTTCTTTTTTTGTCATTTACTGTTCAGATTCTGATCCTACAGAAGTCAGATCAAGATTACGTTGCCTGCCACCCCCACCCCCACCCCCAAATTTGCCCTCAATTTTATAGGTCTTGCACTTCTTGAGTATGTTTTGCAATGCAAACCATTAAAAAGTCCAAAGGACAACAGGTCTAACTGTGACAATGCAACTTGTCAGACATACCACCCTCGCTGAGGGCTTCTGCAGCACCTCAGCCTATGCCAGGGACCAATCAGCAACTCTCATGAATGAAAAAGAGGTTCAAACCCTTTTGATTTTTATCAGTGGAAACCCAATATAAAGGCATTTCCCCAGATTCTTCTCTAGCCCTCAAGTACAAATTTCAGATTGTTCTGACCAGAAGAGTTGGTTGATGTTACTAAGGAATGTATGTGGAAAGAAAATTATCTTTTTTTTTTTTTTTTTCAGCCCCAACTGTGTGTTAAATTCCAAACCTTTCCTCAGGGAATTCACATCGTTTGGGGGAGACAAGACTACAAATTAGAACAATTTTAAGTACAAGACAGCAACGCTTTTAAAAGTTCTGCATGACATGGTTTCAGAAAACATTACCTGAGAAGGTAGGTATTAAGGTGGCGGGAGACCTTCTCCAGGATCAATGACTAAGCCTTGAGTGATGGAGGTGCAGGACACAAAAGGAGGAAGGAGTATTGTTTAGGTGAGGCTGGTCTGACCAGAATAGATGGTTTGGGGTGGAGAGTGCAGGAGTGTAAGGGGGAAACGGAGTCCACCTCTGCAAATTATGAACACTGGTACTGAAGGTATGGATAGCCTCACGTGTCATGGAAACTGGCAGTTGTACAGATTTCCTCAGGAAAATACTGAAAGCAAAAATTGTGATCACACTCAACCCTTCCCTCTATGCACACTGCCCAACATCTCCCACGTCCCCAAAAGGAGAGAGCAATAGGTCAAACATGTTTGTTTATTCATCAGTTCAACAAGCATTTCTCTCTAAAGCATCCTTTGTTTTCAGAAGCTCCAGCTTTTCCGGCAGCACCAAGTATTTTACCACCAAGGGGCCCCCTAGATGCCTGGCTTATCAAGACTACATCATCACTGGAATGGAAAGGACCAGGAGCATTCTAACCAGCCTTTCAAGGAAGGCAGTGCCTTTGTAAATACAAGAAAAGAAAGGTGAGGAGAGAGAGAAGAGTTCTTAAGTTGAGAGTCTCTCTCTCACTGCCATTGAGTTTGATCCAACTCATAGCGACCCCTCCTTGGGTTCCCCAGGCAGTATCACCACAGAAGTAGATTGCCCAATCTTCCTTCTGAGGAGTGGCTGGTGGGTTTGAACCACCAGTCTTCTGGTTAGCAGTCAAATGCCTTAGGCACTAGCCACCAGAGCTCCCTAAATTGGAAGAAAAGGGTGCAATGAATGAATGTATCTGCCAAGGGTACACTAACCCTCCCAAATCAGATTTCTCTTCAAGGGATCTGGCTTGCAAGTCAGGATACATCTTTTCCTCCATTAAAGTTTTCTATTTCCGTGCAAAAAGGATATACCCAAACTGAGCTGCCAACAGACCTAATTCACTCTAGTTTTTAATAGTGAAAAGAACGAGAACAGAAACCGATCCCCAGAACGACGTCGCCGCCTTGGGCCAAGTTTGCGAGATAAAACCGCAACGTAAATCACAAAAATAATAGTCACGAAAGGGATGGGTGGGCGACATGTGTCTCCAAAAAAGCCTCAAGGAGAAAAACAAGACTGCCAGTAACTCAGACAGAAGAGAATTTGAAGGAGAATGCTCTTCAAAGACAACCGCATATGTTGGGCACCAATTGGTGCTGAAATCAACAGACATAGAGAAGCATCTGGGGGTCTTTACGGACTGAAGGGGAAGTTGGAGAGAGTAGAGCTTGGCTTTGCTGGAGGGTCGTTGGCGCCAGCAGGCTGGGCTGGGCTGGGCTGGACAAGTCAGCGACGGGGGGAGGGGCAAGGCTGGAGAGGAGGGGCCTGAGGGACAGGGCGGGCCGGGGGCGGAGCCCAGGTGGTGTTGATACACAAAGAGAAGCCACCCGGTCGGTCGCGGCCCCGCCCCCTGACGCGACGGGTTGAACCGCAGCTATAACCCGCCGCTCGCTGGCTGCTCCAGAGTCTTGAGAAGCTGCCGCCCGGAAGCGACTTTCTGAGCACCGCTGTCCCCAGCCGAACCACGCGTTTCCGCACACTCGCGCCTTTCCGTTGAAACGGCGGACGCCAGAATATTGGGGCAGCAATTTGCCATTTCTTATTTTTAATTAAAATTATCGTTTCTGCCAATTTTTTTTCAATTTTTAAATTTTCTTCGATTTTTGGTTAGACTGA